GTGAGCATCAGTTTCGAGATGTGAAATTTAAGTTTTTGCCAACACACAGTGGTCCCAAATCCCAAAAAGCCGACCAAAGTCAAAAACGTATTTAATTCGCGTGAAAGTCTGAACTCGGGGATTTTTGGTGTCGCTGACCACGAATTCGAAGTCAAATTTCGAAAAAAAATCGCGGCTCCAGTAGAGCTAAAAAATGGCGCCATGGCGAATAATCATTAAATTTCCTGCATAGAGATTTTCGAAATTTTTCCAACAAATAAAATGGTATTCATTTTTTAGGAGTCTTCACGTTGCTGATAATAAATATGAAGTAAAATTTTGGAAATTATGATTGTAAATAAATTAAATGGAAAATGTAATGAATGACAGTTGACATTTGAAGATTTGGGAAGAAGAGGATTGGAATAAAGTAATTAATCATTATTACAATGACAATGAACATTTATAATATATTTCTTTCATTCTTTCATTTCTAATCGATATAATTTTAGCATCTCTTACAATTAATCGCTATCCTGTGAATCCAATACACATTTATAAGGCGGGTATAATTTACAATTTTTTTCACGCTTACAGAACGTATTAATTGGTATTGACTTTTGGTCATTTTACCTTCTACTACAAGTGATAATGCTTCGTTGCCTGACAGCACATCTTCTGAAACGCGTTCCATGGATTTCCGGTACCGTGATGCTTTTGATGGACTGCCTTCTGTGACATCCCTAATTACCTTTGAAGCATGTAAATTTCCAGAAGCCCGGAGACCCATTTGTGTAGCATAGGCCAATTCGTGACAGTATGTTCTTTTCCAACCTTTTCTGTCCTCCTCCGTTTTGACCGATCACTCAAATCGTCTCAGCTTGTAGAAGGACGCCCCATTGTGTTTTCCGTGGAAGTCTTCAAACCTTCATTTTCAATTGCAAAAGACACAGGAACGTTGAGCCACTCGTCGAATTTTTGGAAGAATTTGGTTTCGTTCCTGCTCACTTGTTGCCACCTCTTTTTGATTTTCGATACCAATCTACCCATGGCATCTTTCAGACTTTTCGGCAAAATGTATGGATACTTCAATTTTTTTGACACCTCCATTTCAACAATGTCAGTGACCACGTTGATATTTCCGTTCAATACCGATTTCACAAATATGAAAATTTCCTTTCTCGTGAAAGAAATTTCTTCGGTATTATCCAGATGTTCTGTAGAAAATGGAAAAATAACATCAATAGAAGAATTATCTTTACCAATTTCCTATAAACAATATTTCAGACGCGAAAATTACGAAAAACTGCAGAAAGTACACATATCATCGCATAAAAATTATAACCGAAACCGAAGTCGCAGCTAGTTGCAGCTAATTTTTGGATATGTTTTGAAGAAATGTCTAAGCAACATTTTCCATTTGGTTACAGGGTGGGGGTCGACGGGGGTTTTGACTTATTGCTTTTTCTAACACGACTTTTCAGAACGTGACCAAGAAAAATACCACTACTTTTATTAATGACTTACTATTTCATACATTGTTAATAATAATTTCGAGTAACACATTCAAATTGTACTTACTTTCTGGAGAAGAATCCATTTTGCAGAATCCAAATCCGTTAACTTTTCGCGATTCTACACGCGTCTGAACTCTGTGTTATTTTCGACGCGCGACGAGTGAACAATGCGGCAGGCCCCACGCTCACGAACGAAATGCGTTCCTAAGCCAGATAGGGACACTTCCTTTTTTTTAACGGTCATAATACATACTAGGTGTACTACTACTACTATTCCAACCATTAAAAGTCCCTAGAAAAAAAAAATTTTTTTCGACTTTTGGCCAGCTTTTGGGGATTTGGGACCACTGTGCGGCGCCTCGTCTCTCGCCCCCCAGGCGCGGCTCCGCGTGTTCGGGCCCCAGGTCCCAGGGCGGCTCGGCTTCTCGGCGTTCGCCGCCCGTCGGCGCCTCTCGCCCTCGCCCCTAGACCCGCTCCTCGCTCCGTTTGGCCCCCTGGCTTCCCCGCGGCTGCCGCTCGCTGGCCTCCTCGCGCTCTCGCCCCTCTGCTCTCTCTCTCTCGCCACCTCTCGGCCACGCCGTCCGTTGGTCCCCTCTCTGGTCAGGTCGGCTCGGTGACGCTCGATGGGCGCGTTACAAAAATAACACAAAAATTCTCGGATAAGCGGGCCAGTCAAAGAAAAAGGTGTGGTTGCGACCTCGGGAGGTTTCCCTACGGCTTTGCGCGGATCCTCTTTTCCCGGGCGGACCGACACCGCGCCTTGGGACGGCAGCGGGGAGCTGGAACGCGGCAGCTAATCCGCCACGTCACAACGAATAACAGTTTTCGATAAAAATGATGGATTCTAAATCTTATATCTGTCCTCTCATCTAAGCATGTGCTTTGTAGTACATATACGATTCTATATGGATTTGCGACTTTTCACGTGAAGCGAGATCCACTCCACACCTCGGACATAGTTTGGGTTAGGTTAGGTTATATCTTAACAAAGTGGAGCCCCCCCGCAGGGGGGCGGAACATACTGTCTCCACGCGTGTACTTCCGCCGTTGTACTGTTCCACATTTGCGACTTTCCACGTGAAGCGAGATTCACTCCACACCTCGGACATAGTTTGGGTAGGGTTATATTTTAACGAGGTGGAGCCTCCCCGTAGGGGGGGCGGAACATACTGTCTCCATGCATGTACTTCCATGACGTACGACAGATGGAGATGGGAGGAGAGATATAAGATTTAGTGTCCATCATTTTTTTAGAAAACTATTACTCGCACAGTAAAAATGAATAGAACATAAAATGTATATTTCAAAGAGATCTACAACTTTTGTTTAAGACATTTTTCAAAATTTTTAATATTTGTGTCTGAAAATTACATATAATTGGTCGACATTGTTTTTTTAATAACTTTTTAACACACAACGTCCGCAGGCTAAAATCTTTTGCAGGTCACTCAGGTGGGTGACCTCTACAATATATGTCAAGTCCAAGGTTATTGGAGGTGGGTGTCCTAATCTAAATAATTACCAAAGTAAACATCGAACACGAAATATACACGCAGTACGCGCACGGGCGCCTCCCGCAAACGTCGCGATCGTCACGGTCGAGATGGCGCGACCAATGGCGATCGCGGGGTCGCACAGAAAGAGAGAGCCGACCCAGCGCAAAAGTACATTTATAATATCGTGTAAAATTTCACTTCGAATCGTGAAAATAGATGGTGGTATATTAGTACGCCGAGAATCGCACGCGGTCCGACGCACAGTCAAGAGCATTCGAAATGAATCAGAGATTGGCCGGACGATAGCCGCACATACACCAAAGTGTAGACTCACTTGGCGCAGAGCAGCCAATGGCAGGCCAGCATTTCGGTCGTATTCCGTGTAACAAGGAGTTCCAGACGATTCCCCAAAACCGCGTCATCCGATATATATCCTGGCCGAAAAACAGCCTCGAAGGCAGATCAAATCCAGCAAGAACAGAGGGAAGACTCCCGTGTCATCTCTGTCCGTAATTCAGTAGATACGGAGTCACCCATGCTAGCGCGTGGCCGCACCGCGCCATCACGCGCGCTCTGCGTGCTCCGATGGAGAGACCAGCAAATTAAAGGCATCGGTCAAAAATCCATGTCAAATCGAATCGCGCACTAAGTCATTATACCCGCACCATATGTCCCGAATAATGCACAGATATTAAAGGATCGTAATATACTGAACAAAGTTCGTAGAGAGGCAGGGGGGAACCGGCCATCTTGGTAATGAGACGGCAAAACGTGGCACACGGTAGGAGTCCGAAACTTTAAGTGATAATTACAGGATAATTATGTCTTTGATCACTCCGCCTCCATTTCCACACAGTAGTACAGTAACGGCGAACACAGCGAGCACATTCTTATAGCCGAGAAATCAGTCCAAGGCACGGCTATCAGACCACTATACGGAGCATAGCACAGACACGTCCGTATGCCACCGCGGCCATGACGGAACCCCCACGAAATGATGATGCTGAGATCGAAGATTGTGGCGCAAGCTATGACTTCAAAGCACCCAAATAATGAAAGCTCATTACATAAATATGGATGATTAGTTTCATTATATCTATTGATGTCTTGTTGTTTTCTGTGATTTTCTTTACATATTATTTATTTTTATTTATTTTATTTTGCTTCCTCATAGAGGAAGCTTTGTTTCGATGCGAAAATTTTTTT